TATTGCTGTCTCCATGTGCCCTAGGGACCTATATTTGGACCTAAACTAAGGTGTTCATAGTAATTCATGAGGTTGACGTCAGCCTCGTGCCGAAATATGCAGTGTTGGTTGGCTGGTAATTTAAGCGAAAACATGGCTGCGATTTCAGCCAATCATATCACGTGGCTGATGTCAATCTCATGAATATACAAAAATCGGCTCTCTGACTTCGAAAAACATCGAAACTCTGACATGGCGTGTGTTTTTGGAGGAAACGGAAATCATGTCCGCGATAGAATACATTTCGGTGCATATAGAAGTTTTTTTTTTTTAATCCATCTTTCCAACGGTACTAAGCATTTTTCCGTGCATCAATTAGAATTGTTGTTTTTGAATCAAGAATGTTAGGTGGGGTCGAATTTCCGACATCGAGAGCTTTCCACCCCTCTCGTATATATCGATCTAAACCTCTAAAACATGTAAAATTACTCTGAGCACCTTAGTTTAAGTCCAAATATAGCTGTAACAAATTCTCAGGTCCCTGTGATAGTGATTATATAAGACCTGGAACCTGTGCTACAACATGGGGACCAACAACTTGTTCTGTATGCTGCCAAATAAGGTGCGATACACTGTATGACCTCGACAATCATATGCCACAATAACAGCTGCAAATTTATTGATTTAAGGTACAAAAAAAATGTATATATATATATATACTATCGTCTATGTATTGTATTATCAATCATATTCGCAAGAAAATTAGATAAGTTACTATTTACGATATTGTATAATTAAATCTGTTGTCACGTCCGACAGGTTTTGGTTTGGACAAAGCGCTTGGGCATGCCGATTTTTATCCCAATGGCGGCGAGAAACAACCCGGATGTTCACAGGAAGATGTCAATCATTGGTTTTTCCTGATAGCCCTGCAGATTGAGCGTAAGTATAACATGTGTTATCTGTAGTAAACTTAAAAGCCTTGCATGATATTTGGTAGTATGTTGGAATTGTCACATGCTAATAGCCTAGTGAAGTAGGTTTTAGCTTAGTAGGACATTGGAAGTGCCAGAAGGGTTTTCCGTCATACGGAATCTAGTGAACAAACACGTGGGTCTTTCTCATAAACTAATTTGTTTACGTTATCGCGAATTCCTAAAACACAAAGACAATACCTTATTGAAACAGACTACATTCGGACACTATAAACACTCGCAGGAAATCACACAAAATTGAACACACCCTCGGTCACACATACACTTCGGCTCGGATGATTATATTGGATTCACAGCATGCTAGCTGGGTAGTATATTGGATTTGTAGCATATAAGCTGAGTAGTATATTGGATTTACAGCATGTTAGCTGGATAGTTTATTGGATTTACAGCATGTTGGCTGGTATGATATTGGATTTGTAGCGTGCAAGCCGTGTAGTATGTTGGATTTATAGTATGTTAGCTTGATAGGATATTGGATTTATAGCATATTAGCCTGGTATTATGTTGGATTTAAAGCATGTTAGCTGGGTAGTATATTGGATTTGTAGCATGCTAGCGGGTAGTATATTGGATTTGTAGCATGTTAGCTTGGTATTATTTTGGATTTGTAGCATGTTAGCCTCGTAGTATATTGGATTTATAGCATGTTAGCTGGGTAGTTTAGTAGCTTTATAGCATGTAGAAAAGTAGTATATTGGATTTACAGCATGTTAGTTCGGTAGTATATTGGATCTTTAGCATGTTATCTTCGTATTATATTGGATTTATAGCATGCTAGCTGGGTGGTATATTGGATTGTAGCATGTTAGCGTGGTAGTTTATTGGATTGATAGCATGTTAGCCTGGTATTATATTGGATTTATAGCATGTTAGCTGGGTAGTCTATTGGATTTATAGCATGTTGCTGGTTATTATAATGGATTTACAGCATGCTAGTTGGTTAGTATATTGGATTAACAGCCTGTTAGCTGGGTAGTATATTGGATTTATAGCATGCTAGCTGGTTAGTATATTGGATTTATAGCATGTTGGCATGATAGGATATTTGATTTATTACATGCAAGCCGAGTAGTATATTGGATTTATAGCATGTTAGCTGGGTAGTATATTGGATTTATAGCATGTTAGCTGGGTAGTATATTGTTTTTATAGCATGCTAGCTGGGTAGTACAATTGTATATTGGATTTATAGCATGCTAGCTGGGTTGTATATTGGATTTATAGCATGTTAGCTGGGTAGTATATTGGATTTAAGGTCATATGAGTGTATTGCTAAGCGGAAATAGGAAGTACATCCCTAGTTGAAAACCCAATGTAGGGAGACAGTATCACAATTTCCGCATATTCTAATGTTTAATATTAAACTGATGAATAATATGTTGTTCATTGACAGAACAGTGTGTTAATTCAATATTAAAGCATTTTAAAGCAATCCAGGCATTAATTCAGTTGTTTTTTAATCAATGAGTCACATGTGTCCATTTTTCTGTACTTCAGGAAACCGGCTACCTATTTCACTACTGTGAAGTTTTTCAAGAACGATAACTCTTACATGCAATTACTATGTGTATATGGTTTTATTATAAAATGTCAATTTTTAATTGTTTATAGATAAATAATTTTACACAATTTCAGCATTTATGAAATTGATAGACATTAATGCAATACTTATCTTTGTCAGTATCATTTTTATTGACATTATTTTGCAAAAATTGTGTTTCATTTTTTTTTTTCAAAGTTCACTCTTTTTTCACATAAAAATCCATTTAAAATCCTTAAAATTCTGACAACCTTTATTGTTTTTGTGGCAGAAATTTTTCTTTAAAACTTCAAAGCAATTCAACTACAAAATTTGAAGAAATTCTACTGAGAAATGGCGACACAATCCTATTACCTTAAGTAGTATATTGGATTTACAGCATTTAAGCTTGGGTTCTTGAGTTTGTATGTTCAATTACGAGGGCCAAAACGAGAAAAAATATAGTACACTAAATAATTGACAAGGTCTGGTCAACCCTACTCGTTAAGATGAAAATACTTGCGTAATACATATATAATTTTCTTTATTTTCTTTCTTGCTTTTCCTTCCTAGAATTCACAGACACCGTTGCCTGTAGTCACATGAGGGCAATAGCCTTATTCACGGAGTCCATTCCGACATCCGGATGCTCGTTTACAGCATACCCATGCCAAAGCAAGGCAGACTATGACGCCGGAAGATGTCATTCATGTGACCAAGGGTGTTCCGAAATGGGTTACCATGCCGACAAGTATAGTGCTCATGGAAAATTCTACTTGTCAACCACAGGAAGTCCGCCATTTTGCCAATGAAAGCACACTTTGTTTTAAACCTTTTAACATTCGTTTTAATAAAAATTAAACAATTATCTGGTCATTTGAGTTATTTTGTAGTTTTGTATCGGTCGAATATGTTCTAGCCTAACACTAATCGGGATAGATGATTTAAGTCTTTCGTTTACTCGCACCTGGATTTTTGCCTCTAGTAATGTTTAGGAGTTTATGGCGTATTTTGCTGCTATGTGCGGCCTCTTTGATTCCTGTTTTATTTTGTATAGACTTTGACATCCTATGATGTCCCTGTGTATTATAAAAGTGGTTGTTTTTCGTAGACCTTGACCTTTGACATTGTCCGTGTATTGACAGTATGGTTGTTTGTATCGATGTTGACCTCCGAAGTTGTCAATGCGTATTGCCAGTACGGTTCTTTTGAATAGACCTTAACCTCCGATATTGTCAATCAGTATTGACAGTGTGGTAGTTTTGTATCGACCTTGACCTCCGATGTTGTCACTGTAATGACAGTGGTAGGTTTGTACAATGTATCGACCTTGACCTCCGATGTTGTCACTGTGAATTGACAGTGTGGTAATTTTTGTATCAAGTTTGACTTTCGATGATATTGGCCTTGTGTAGTGACTGTGTGGTACCTTTTGTATCAAAATTTAATTTGTAAAAAATAATAATAAAATATAAATAAATAAAGCAAAATAAGTTTTGAACTCATTGGAGCCATTGTTTCATGAAACATCTCTGTGGTATCTCACCTTGAGGTAAGAGGATGTTTAGGTTAATCAATGGAATATTACCACGACTGACCGTCCGAATATATTCGGTGTATTGTAAGGTCTAATAAACCTTTAAAGTACTTGGCAAGGACTTCGACACGTTTGTCGGACACCAATGGAGTATAGGACATGTGTCTGGTATCACATTAATCACTGAACGAATCTAATGACACAGCAATGGCGTAGTCACTTGTGTGACAGTTACACAGTATTGTAGACATGTGGGTCAAATACTGCCTAGACCGCCACGGACGTCTACTACGCCAATAATTAATCTTTAGAGATCAAAACTATATAACCTTGTTCATTATTTTATGCTTCGATATTTTGTGTCGGATGCATTTGTTATAAATTATAATCAAATGTTTCTTTGAATTAAAATTACACACGTTTCTTTATCGAAATTTTCTGTCGGCTGTCTGGCAATATCCTGATTATAGATACTATTTAACGTCTTAATGGGATTATTGCAAATACGTATGGACAGATAAGTTATTAGTTTATCGGAATTTTCCATAGTGCAATTGGTGACTTAATGGAAAAAGGGTTTCTTGATGGTGATACATATAGCATGGATACTGCCAGATTTGTGATTTGTCGCGGTAATGTGGAAACGGTACCGATGGTTGACCGTTCTTTTTGGCTAAGGTTGCTTATATTTTTTGTTCAGTCCGCCTCAACCTCTGACCTCGGACACTGATTATAGATGTCAGTTAACGTCTTAATCGAATTAATGCAAATATGTATGGACAGATATGTTATGAGTTAATCGGGATGTTCCATAGTGCAATTATTGGCTGAATGCATACAAAGGGCATTCAAAAGTTCAAACCCGATTATCAAACGAAGACTTACAATTCTTCAAATCTTTGTTGTTGTGTGAGCAGCGTGTTTAAAATGATATTTGATTCGGTCAATAAACGAAACAAACAGCGTAGCAAATAAATACTTTTATTAACAACTCATGTACGGCATTACCCGTTGTTTAACAATGCACCGAGGAACCGGCCATTCCGGTATATCAATGTACAGTTTAATGTATAACAAGTTTGCATTGTAGTTGCTTGATTCTGTGACGTACATTGGTACTAACAAATGCACACTCGTAAAGTGGCTGGCACACAACCAATGTTACCTAATGTTATAAACCAAATAAGTCTACTGGATCAATGAAATCATTACACCTGAACACGATTTGGTCAGATTGTCTGTCGAACTGTTTATTTAATTGATGGTGTTTTTGATTTGCTGCCTTTGTCCGATCATTAAAATTAAGGACAATCAGCTCATTTGCAAATCCCTTCATTTGCCGAGACAATGTATACGACACAGACGAATAATATTATAGTTAACCCATTTAACAATTGCAGGTACAATGTCTTATGTTGACTTGTTGACAAATGTTGGATGGCAAAAGCGTTCATACAGGAGATATATCTATTTTTGAATTGATTAGGTAATAAGATAGTTATATTTTGATTGTTTGTTTATCTCCCTGTATTTGAAACTGTATCGTACACATCGGGATATCATTTTAAACATGCACCAAAAGGAATCAATTACTCATTTGTCTGCCAATTAAGACACAGTGTATAACAACCGGTCATTCCAGAATATAAACGTCGCCCACGGAATGTAGCACTCCTTAAATGAAGGCCTTTTGGTTGTTATTTCACTGAATATGGGGTTTATAATGATCTGATTTATTAACTCATTCACCCCTGGAGATACATCTAAACTTTTCAAATTAAAATGTTGGAATAGTTCATTATGCAATTTCAGGGGTGAACGAGTTAAAGACTTTTGGTTAGGATTTTACCATATACTGACCAGCTACAATACGTTAACAAAAACAGTAATACACGTCTAGCATTCCAACGTTCATTTCACTCCCATACGTTAATAAATAACATGTATACTAACCTTAATCATTGCTTTCTGTAACACACATACACCAGTCATACATAACACACACTCATACCCATACCCCCCACACACATAACGTAATATCAGTAATAACAATAAACACACACTCATACCCATACCCATACCCCCCACACATAACGTAATATCAGTAATAACAATAAACACACATTACTTGAAAGTAAAATATGAACGGTAAACAGTAGATGTAAACGTGATCTAGAAATGTATCACAAACACGCGCGCGAGATTTCCACTCCTGTTGACAAGATGATCTGGCTGTGTAGCATACGCCTTAATGAATGATTACGAAATAGTGACGTAATAGACATATCCTACATTCTATGAGCAGTCTGTTTTCTTCCCTGGAGAGGACACTCAGCTGAGATATTTGTTGATGAAGACAATAGACAGTTACACACTACAACAATGCTGAGTTTGGTTTCGATAGACGAATTGATGATATAATATAACATAAATAAGTTAATGTCAGGACTCTAAAATTGTGTTGTCTATTGATTCAGGTAGTTTGACTGTTTCAGGTATACAAAATGGTGCTTTTTCGTTTGTATTGAATACGAACACTCCGCGTGGGTTCCCAATGTTGGAATGGTAGCCCATGAGTGCACACCCATTTTCACACGTGTTGCAACCCTCTGCTACATCAAGTCCGTCCCCTGCGGTACAATTGTACGATGTATACTTGCATTTTCGTATATTAACAGATTCGATGTACAGATTCATTGCCCGTATGTGACTGCATCCCATGTTCATAAATACATCTAAAAAAAAAGACAGATACTAACTGTTATTAAAGCAATCAATGAAGAATGGAAAAGAAATTAATATGAACGTTCAAAGATTTACAAACAAACAATAAACAAATTACAGATGTGTCAAGCGCCTAATGAAGTTGACTTGCTCGGAGATATAAACATTTAAAACATAGGGATTGTATCCTTAACGACACTTACCAACACTTCCGGTCACTATCAAGCCCAACTGCTGATTCATAGTGGAGGGACATCCAGGTTGGGAATGGCCGCCATTGGCATAAAAATCTGCATGTCCCATTCTTGACTTGGCACCAAAGCCCGGATGACCTAGAAACAAAACAAGAAAATAAATAACTTATTTCTTCACAAGGAATATCTTCTTCATACCGTATCATTATGATGAACAATAACGTTTTATAAGACGATGTGACCATATAAAGTAAGAAAATACAGTAAAGCAAATTACCCCATATAGTTGCTTATCAATAGCCAGTACTCACCTAGTACAAACAGATCCCGTGCATCTGTGTGTAGTATATCTACAAACAAGGCATCGGAGGCGTCAAGAACTGTCTCTTCGGGGTAACCTTCAAACGACGGCCCGGCAGGATCGATACCTTCAAAATTAAAAACCTATAAGGTTACTTCAATGTAAAGCAAAATAATTAGACAACTTAAACTTTCAAAGGGAACCGTGAATACACAGTATACTTCCTCGGCAATCCTTTACTGGTGAGTGCAGTCTCTAATTGGCAGGTTCACATGGCAAAACGACTCTTGTACAGAGCTATCCTATTGTACGTATCACAATAAGCAAACTGGTACGTTTTTGATAAAAGCTGGGTCGCGTAGTATGAAGGTCAATGACCTATAATAACTAGATGTTAGATGTCCCGGACTATGATGGTTACTAAAAGCACTCAAGGCCTCGTATATTTGAACGGATTCCAAATATCAAATGCTGTCTATGAAACACTTTTCATATTTTCTTTTTAGATTAAAGTGTTCTTAAAGAACCATCACTTTTTGAATATATGATGGATAGAGCCAAATAAATCATACGAACGGATTGGTAATATGTCACAAGAAATTATTCAAAATCATAAATTTAAATTTAGGTCTTTCAGATTTTGTTTTCCGTCAAAATTTTCAACAAAACCTTTCACTAAAATGAAATGAACGCGCGAACTTTATTTGTTGATATCTTGGTCAAAATGAAAATCAAACTATCTTTTATCAGCAAGGAGCTTTTTGTCCGACAGCATCCAATGCGTATTGCCTCAACAAAACGTAGAATTCCTGGTCAATGTTCGCTAGGTAGTGTATAATTGCAGTGAACTGTGAAGCGACGGAAGCCAAAGCATGCTAGCCGCGCTCGATGTTTGTGTGATGAGCGTTTGGTGGGCCATGAATCTGGAATTCGCATGAAAATAGGTCGTTGCCTTCGTTTTGAAACAAAGTTCGTCCAACGGACGAGTAGTCATCTTTATAAACCACAAGTATATTTCCAACCTGACCGTTTGTTTTGTCTTTTGATAAATCTCATAATACATTTACTTGGCAAAAATACATTATTCTATATCTCATAATTTTATCACTTGAATATATATTTCGTCATACTGCTCATTGTTTCCTGGTTTTAATGGTTTATGGCAGTTGTTTCGCGAACAAAATACAATATATCTAATTTGAAGTAATACGTAAATGATTATCGATTAACTTACCAGAGATTCTGCCGATGCCCTTGACCTCAGTGCCAATGTAGCCAGCCATTTGAGCACCAAGACTGTGGCCAATGATATGGACCTTTTCCATACTGTAGCTGAGGTCGTACTGTAGTCTCAGTAAGAATTTGGAGATCATAGCGGCGATGATACGAGTGTTGGCGGCTGATTGGTAGTATAGGTTGTGTCCTGCGCCTCGTTTCCAGTTTACGGCGATGACATTGACATTGTTCTGTAGGGGGGAAAAAACGCTCATATTGTAGGAATTCTATCACAAGTAAACTGCTAGTACCTCTTTCATCAATTCCCACAAAACCGTTAACTACTGCAAAGAACTATATAACCGCTAACTTCTTGTGATGTATAAACCCGGGTAACCATTAACTACTAGAAGCCCGTTGGTTCCAACATACCCGCTAGCATAACATATATATATACATTGCAGGAAATATCTTTCACGTGTATATTCCCTAGCCCGACTGAAACAAGGAAAAAAAATATATTACTAAGATAGATAGAAATATACGTACAAATCGTAAAAGTGTTTTCCTCAGTCTGCGGATCTTTGGATTTCTGGCACTATCCATCCAACCATGAATGATGAAAATTGTGTCACGTTGGAGATTGAGTTTCCCCTGGATTCTTTTCTGGTTCCACTTGAGCTTTCGGGCACGGACGGGATTCTTGCGGGTGTACAGGAAGAATTGCAGCCCCTGTTTCTTTGGCGACAATGGAAGAACGCCCTGTGTGTTGTCGAATGGCTTCTCGCTGCTATAACAACCGAATCCAAGGAAGCAAGCCGTCTTGCATGTCTTCCAGGGCCACATCCCAGAGAGATATCCGGCTGTAAGTAAACAAATATACGATTAGAATCAAGGAATGTATTGACCAATGTGATAACAGTTTTATAAACACAAATTTAACAGCAATGTATTGTTGATTACTTTAGGAGTATAACACACTGGTCGGATGGTTGAAAATGCGGATCTTAGCAAAACAAAAGAATTTTATCTCTTATTGCATTATGAAACCTCTGTGGTATATCTTATCTTTATTACGCATGTTAAAAATAAATATATATTTTTTACGTTTATTTCTTGCACACTTGGATGTATTAAAATGATTCAAATGTGTTGTTAATCTAAGTGCTAGTGTACTAGGTTATTGATCTTTCTGATTTACATGTGTCGACCTATATACTATAGTAGAACAATTCGCTTGAACAATGTTTTGACCTATATAGACAAAGTCGCCCCAAATTCATAAAGCTCATTAGACTACTTGCCACGTATAATAACCACATAAATCTTTGGAACAGTTTCAAATTACAAGGAATGTCAGGCCACAATAGCTCGTCACTCGGTCCGACTCTGGTGTCCCCGACTATAATCATGTTTTGTAACGGTAGAGTTCTTCTTGTCGGGATAGGACGGCGCAATTTCTAGGCTGCAATTGCTACCAGAATGCCTTCAAAGCAAACTTTGTGCTTTAGGAACAGTATATGTACAAGACAGCTTGCTTGGAGATGTGGCAGTTACCTCCCTTCCACAGGGAAGAAAACGTGGTTTTTACCCTGTTTTATTACACTTTCAAATGTGAAATAAACCATATTTGAAAAAAAACCTCTTTGAATTGTATGCAAACATATTTTTGTATTAGTGTGATAGTTCTCACACAATTTTGTTCAGAACACGATTCAAATGACAAAACAGTATCAAATTACCAAACACAAAATGTTTTTTTCTGATTATGTAAATTGTATATCCAAGTCGTGTAGTACATTCTGGATTCCTTTGATAACTGAACAGTTAGTTGCTGTTATTTTCATGGGATTTTGGCAAAATGCCAATTGTGAATTTCCAAAGCACCAGTAATTGATACAAAGTTATATTTCCCATTGACACTTACAATCAATGTTATGACTGTGTTCTATTCTTGATACTTCCAGAGAAATTGAGTAATGTTTAACTGAAAATAAGCGGTTCGATTAAAAATTATAATCAGATTAGAAATAGCTCGGATTTGCCAAATTGCAAAGGCATAATGAGTGATAATACTTAAGATTCCCGTAATACTTGGATTATGCCAATATTGATTTTGAGATTGATGTCATAATACAAATATATGTTTATGTATACAGAGAGATATGTTTACATATTTCATAAGTGATTTAAGTATATATGTGAATTCCAAACTANAAGAAAATACCAGAAATATCGGAAAACTTAACGACATTTGACTACGCTCAGCTTCCATGCCCGCTTCGATACTAGCTATATCCGGTGTCAGTTCTACACAGTGTACATATGTATATATATATTTTTTGAAACTTTGAATGTGTTTATTTCTGAGAAAGTCACTTTCTGCAGTGCTATTTACCTAACAAATCACATGAAACAAATTGTTCTAATTTCCTGTAATCTAAACAAGATCTACATTACCTCCTAGCAACAAATAGATTTGTACTTCCGCCAACTTTTGATTTCTTATGAAAGCGTGTACTTAGTTATTACTATATATATATATCGTCAGTGACGTCACTGATGTATGTATACACATACTTTGGAGGTGTGTCGGTAGGCGTAAGAGAGTACTTGCATTTGATTGGTTGATAGAAATACCTTGTGGCGGCCCACATTGCATATGTTGTTATGCAGGAATTTTTCCTCTCTCGGTACTCAATGCGTTTGTATTCAGCGGGGGTACCAAGGTGACATTAAACCCTAATTTCCCCTCAGTGAAAAAAAGACTTAAGCCGAAATCGTTTGATAAATATTTATGAATGGGCGAACAATAAAATGTAGTAGCTGACCCACTTAACATTCGGCATTTTTATGAAGCAGTCTGATACTCCCCCTAGTATAAATGGGAAACAGACGCCACGGTTGACCTGTAATGTGATGTCTGTTTCATTATATGTCACGAGGCATTGTCTGACTAAATCGGCCCATATCAGGCGATGATGACGATATAGGGCCCTCCCATGTCATACGATATACAATGTTTTAGTTATTGCCCTATATATAATTGATTTGAAATATAAATAAAAACAAAACAAACTCTGATATATAAGACATATCATTGAAACATCTGTAATGATATGATGACGTATAGCTTAAAATAAGGACATACCGGTAACGATACCTGTATAAAACTACACGAAAAATACATAACATTCAATACTTATAACTGACATCAACAGAAATACGATAACGTGTTATCATAAAAACATCTTTAACAATATAAATAAATGTTAGTAATTTTAAACGAGGTTTAAATGAAACAAATTTAAGAAAATTTGATAACAATAGACTACTTACATGTTACGGTGGCTGTCAGGATGACCAGAGAAATGACCAAGAGGATACTGGACATGGCGATAGGTCACTGACAAAATATCAAATAGGACCCAGACTCCCAGTCAGAAAGTTATAAATGTCCCGGTAATAAAGTTCTATTTATAAACACTCCTAGCACTCCACAGTACGTATCACAGATGGAATATATCTATATATTAGAGATCACTTATTGTTTTGTACTCCTGGTCTGACCAATGTTTACTAGTCAGTGGTCAGGTAAACACTTGCACTGTAATTTGTTTAATCCCATTTATAAAGAAGAATGTTCGCATAGAAAAAATCACACAGGTACAGATTCAGTACAGGTAGGACATAGTATGGGAAAGTGTGTGTGCAGAGCGTCGCTGGTTAAGCTATACCCACGTCGAGTGAAGTTATACACATACCACGCTGTGCTAGCGTCGGTTCATAACAGTGTGCTTCGGGAGATAATGGCAGGTCTGCCCGTACTCAAGGTTATAAACAGTATTGGACGTATCGAAGCATAACTATACAGCTTAAAGTTCTGGCCCGAAGATTCCACGTCTGTCTAACACTATGTTAAATTAGAAAACCCATGACATTCTGCTAATGCATATTCGAATGATTCGATCAAAATCAGTTAATATCAATTGTGACAACATTTTTGTGTTTGGCGATATAATTGTTCACATTGGCCTAATCAAATGGGTAAATCTTCAAACACAATGCAAACACAGCGACTGTGTAATTATCAATAATGAAATGTTATTAAACATTGAAGTAACATACCCCGACAGCGCTACTCCATTGGTACAAAAACCCGGTAACATCATCATGGGATTAATTTATTTGAAAACAATGTTTTGGTGTTAATTATAGGAGGTCTACTGGGCAGACTGCCTGCTGTCTATGCCAGATTTGAATTGTGCGTGTAACTGTTCAGTCATGCAGCTCTGGATTTGACACATATTTTTGTATGTACTTATGAAATGTGGCACGTACACCCCATTTCTAATACACCTTGCCATGGGTATCATACAAACATTCCGACTCGAGTAATACACATAACTCCCTATAACTGTCATGGCTATAGTAATATCTGATCTGCAAGTTATCGAACTGTGAATTCCTCATATGGGTCTTTGTTGATAAACATTTAAAGATGACACATAGTCATAAAAAGAATACGATATCATAATATTGACATTTAAATTGCAATACCATATGTCTGAAATGTGGACTAGATCTTTACCCACAATCAGTGTCATTCAAAATGATGTCTTGCAGATGAGATATTACAGTGAAGGCTGCGATTCATATGCACATTATTGACGTATCTTAGATATACAGAGTATACTTGATCTTGACACACTGGCACACTTTCCTTGTTGAATGCCATAAAACCTCTATCAGCTTCATACTTTGAGTACATTATTTCTATTGTCAAACAAATTCTCTGAAACAATAATAATAATAATAATAATAATATACAACATTTGATATAGCGCCCTATCTAGCTAACATAAGCCACTCTAAAGCGCTTTACAGTACATAGATATACAATTAGGATATACAATGTTGAGGAATTCGCAGGAGCTGCCTTATCAGGTGCTAACTTCTAGTCCTATGCCACCTTGCTAATAACTCCCTATGTGTGTATCCCTGCATGTGTGCTGGAGATGTATTGTGTTCCGTTTGTAGTCGGACCGTGCTTCCAACGGCATCTTTTTAATAGTGCCACCTCAATTGAATGCTACATCACAGATACCGCAACATCCACCCCACACCATATTATACTCCACCTGTGTTGTTGGAGTTGTGTGGGCAGGAGAAAAACACTTTCTCTGATATTCCATGCGTGCGACGCAATGGTAAAAATGTTGATGTTTGTGTCATGCCTTTCATGTGCATGTAGTTAAGGCGAGCATTTTGGCAATTAAATATTAATTTATTTTGTCATAAATATGAATTATGATTTGTCTGTTTGTATTTTATTTTTAATCTGTATGCATGCATATGTAAAAGGGCAACACCTGTTTAAAAGGATATATATATACATGCCAGGTTTTTATGCTAACATTGGTTATTATTCACCTGATAACGTGATGCTAAGATGAATGCTTTATTGTCTTTGACATTTTTGAAATTTACATTTTTTAACAGGTATAACAAACCACTCCTGGTGATCATGTGTACATGAAACCACAGGTGAAAATACAGGTTTATTTATCATGAAATGGACTCTACCTTTGAAATAACAATTAACATATATACCTAATTCCAACAGATGGTTTTATCCTCTCTCAACGGACAGCCTGATCATCACACTGTGACATTAGAACAATACGATTAGGTAGACAGTCCGTTGAGCCTTCATCACTTACCTGACTGGAGATCCTACTAATATATAAACAAAAGAGGATTTACCCCCTATTGTTTAGAGTATAAGTAGTGGACCCCTTGTTTGGGTAACTGCACCCTTAGGCATATATAGATATTCAAACTGCTGCTTGCCATAGAAAATCATAGTTCACAGGATGGTTGATATTAGAAGAAAATCCAATATGAAAAAGAGGGAAATCTTCAAAATCTTAAGTCCACATTATTTTTGGACACAGTAAAAGATGTTGCCCGGGCAACTAGGGAAACACCCCTGGGTCCGCCACTGGATGGTGAGAGTTTTCCTTCCCTAAGAAGTAATATATCAGCATCCAAAATCTTCATCAACCTGAACTTTTGAAATCTTTTTATCTTTGTCCGCCAAAGGTCGACGTCTGTCTCAGAAATCTTGACATTCGGAGTAAGCACTTGAATACCCAATCAACTGCGACATGCAAACACCGGATGTTGGTCGAACAATTCCGTTACTATCAAGAAAGGGAAAGATCACGATCTGAAAATCGAAATCGTCCCGCTTATCGTATCCGATAGTATGAGATATTACAGTGAAGGCTGCGATTCATATGCACATTATTGACGTATCTTAGATATACAGAGTATAATTGATCTTGACACACTGGCACACTTTTCATTGTTGAATTCCATAAAACTTCAATCAGCTTCATACTTTGACATTTACCTACAGTATAACAGTAATTGTCTCCTCGCTACCGAAGTCTATGACCTTTACCCAAAGTAGCAATAATGATCACATTATCGCCAAATTGATGACGGTTTTTTTCACACGGTATACCAATAATGTTCACCTCACCATCAGATTCTACGACGTTTTTCTACAGTAAGGCAATCATTCTCACTTCACTACCTAATTCTACGACATTTACCAACAGCATGACACTGTAATGGCAATTTTAATGCCAAACTCTATGTCAAACTTTATTATTTTGTTTCACGATGGTGAAAGTTTTTCTTTCCTAAGACGTAATATATCGGCATCCAAAATCCTCATCAACCTGAACTTTTGAAATCTTTTAAATCTTGGAAGTTTTTTGTTTGTCTGCCATACGTCGACGACTGTCTCAGAAATCATGATATTCGGAGTAAGCACTTGAACACCGAATCAACGACATGGAAACACCGGAGGTCGGGGGAACAATTATGTTACTATCAAGAAAGGAAAAGTTCACGATCTGAAAGTCGAAATCGTTCGACTTATAGTACAGCTGAGAAGTATCCGTCCCTGTTGGTCGTATTGTGTTGGTAGTTCGAGGAAACCCGCCGAAGTAGAATAGTGTGTAGTTTCCTTGATTTCATGATCAGGATACTCTTTATACCACCATTACTTAAGTATACCGAACTGAAAGAACTACTTCATTTTCTTGTAATGAGAACTTTCTATTCCAAGAAGGTTTGGTTTGGTTTAGTATTGTTTAACGTCCTATCAACACAGCTATGGTCATTTAAGGACGGC